CATGTATACAAATTTTATTCAGGTAATTTTAAGTAATTAATTTCAAAAGCCCCTTACAAGCTTATTTTCTTCCTGGGAATTTTTCCTATTTCTCTGTCCAAATCACCTCTTATTCTTCTAGTTATATCACAATTTAGAATTCAATAAATCATCATTGTTTATATATTTATACTATACAATATAACTGCATCCTGTAGTATATCTTTCACTTTTTGCTTTTATTTTTAATTGACATATATGAATTACACACCCACAAGGGGCACACATAATGTTTCAATACATGTATACGTTGGGTAATGTTCAAATCAGGCCAAGCGTGTCTGTCCTCCCAAGCATCTATCATGCCTTTGTGATAAGAACATTACAAATCTTCTTAACTAGATATTTTGAAATTTAAAGTACACGATTGTAATCTATAGTCATGAAACTGTGCAACAGCACGGCAGAATTTATTTCTTCGACCTCACTGCAACTTGGTACTCACTGAGCAAGCTTCTCCCATTGCTCCCTCCCTACTACCCTTTCCAGCCACTGGTAACCACTGTTCCCCTTTCAATGCCTATGAAATCAGCTTTTTCAGATTCTACATATGAGTGAGCTCATGCAGTGTTTGTCGTTAGGTGCCTGGCCTATTTCGATTACCATGATGTCCTCTGGTTCCATCTATGATGTTGCAGGTGTCAGGATGGATAAATAGTATTACACTGTGTGTATGTACATTTTCTTTATCCATTCATCAGCTTCAGGGACACTTTGGTTGATTCCACTTCTTGGGTACTATGAATAGTGCTACAAAAAACACGGGAGTGCAGAGGTCTCTCTGACATAATGATTTCATTTCCTTTGAGATTACTGGATCATATAGCGGGTTTATTTTTATTATTTAAAAATTGTTTGTGTGGTGGTGAGGATTGAACCCAGGACCTCATGCGTGTGAGGCAAATGCTCTACTGCTGAAGTTCACCTCCAGCCCTATTTTTAACTTTTTGGAGAACTTCCACACCATTTTCCATGCTGACTGAGCTATCTTAACATTCCCATCACTAGTGCAGGAGGATTCTCATTCTCCACAATTCAGAACTTCTTATCTGTACCATCTTTAATGACAGCCATTCTAATTAGAGAGGCGGTCTGTCACTGTGCTCTGACTGGCATTTCTCTGACGATTAGTGATGTTGAGTGTTTTTTATGGACCTGTTGACCATCTGTATGACTTCTTTTGAGAAATGTCTGTTAAGGTCTAGTGTCCATTAAAAAAATTTTTTTTTTGCAATCGAGTTGTTGGGGTTCCTTACAAAGTTTGGATATTTAACCCTTTATCAATGTATAATTTCCAGATTTTCCCTCCCATTCTGTGGGTAGTAATTTCAGTCTGTTGATTTTTTCCTTTGCTATGTAGAAGTTTTTTAGTTTAGTGCACTCCAACTTATTTATTTTGCGTTTGTTGCCTGTTTTCCTAGGTATTTGAACCTGGAACCAAGAAAAACTGTTCTTGGGGTGTCTCACTGAGAATGTCTGTAGAATCTTATTGGTGAGACCCAATGCTTTCTAGTTCTATCCTCTTTGCAGCCTGCCTGGTCAACTCTTCCTTCTCAGAGGAAGCTACCCACATCCTGTTATCCTTCCAGGAATTCTCCTAGAATTTTCTGTTAAAATGATGATATTTGGATAATAGCTGATTAAAACTGATAACAGAGAATGGAAATCATGGATTAGACCCTCAAGGAAATGCAAAAAATAGAAACTTCCAATCAAGAAATAATAGAAAAAGTGGACACTCACTTATACTGGAGTCGGGGAAGCCAGCAGTGGGGCTTCATAAAGGCTCCAGTGTTTCTCTTTAAATCCTCTGAGGTCACCTGTAACCAACTTGCAAGCTCCAACAGACCAGGAAGCTGCTGCTCTCTACCAGGTGCCAGTAAATACTTTTTAGAAACTGAGATAGCATTCATGTACTATATAACTCATGCCCCTAAAGTGCACACTTCAATGTTTTGCTTTGTTTTGTTTTTTTGCATTCACGAATCTGTGCAACCATCACTACTATCTCCTACTAGGACACTGTCACCATCCCTCAAAGGAAATCTGTCCCTACTGGCAGAGTTACCACCATTTCTCCCCTTCTCCCAGCCACAGGCAGTGAGTAATCAACTTTCTGTCTTTGCGGATTTGTCTACTCTGGATATTTCCATTTCACATAAATGAAACCATACAAGATGTCATTTCCTGTCACTCATTTCTTTTACTATGCATACTATTCTTAAAGTTGCCCATGCTGTCATTTATGTTAGTAGTTTTATTCCTTCAATTGAATAATACTCTATTGCATGGATACGTCACACTTTTTATCCATTTTTCAGACTGTGTTGCTGTTATGAACATTCATGTAGAAGCTTTTGTGCAGACATGTATTTTCATTTTCCTTGTGCATAAAGTTAGGAGTGGAATTGCTAGGTCATATGCTAACTTGTATTTAACTTTCTGAGTAACTGGCAAACTATTTTCCAAAGTGACAGCTCCATTTACATTCCCACTAGCAATGTAGGATGATTCTAATTTCTCCACATCCTTGAAACACTTGTTACTCTTTATTACAGCCATCTGCGTTGGTATGAAGTGGTGTCTCATTGGTTTTCATTTGCATTTTCCTAATTACTAATGATGTCGGACATCTTTTCATACATTGTTGCTCATTTATTGGCTTTTGAGAGCTATCTACCTACCTCTTTGCCCATTTGTTTTTCAGTGCTGGGAATCAAGTCAGGGCTTCCCATATGCTAGGCAAATGCTCTACCACTGAGCCACACCTCCTAGACCACTGCCCATTTTTAAATTGGCCATTTGTCTTTTCATTGTTGGATTGTAAGAGTTCTTCATATATTCTACATAGTAGATCTTTATCAAACATGATTTGCATATATTTTTGCATATATACATGATTGCATGTATTTTCACTTTCCTGATACTGTCTTTTGAAACACTAAAGTTTTAATTTTTTTTTTTTTTTTTTTTTTTTTGGTACTAGGGATCGAACTTAGGACCTTGCAGTTGCGAGGCAGGTGCCGGAACCACTAAGCTAAATCCCTGGCCCCCTAAAGTTTTAAATTTTTACAAAATGCAACTAAATGATTTTCTTTAGTTGCTTGCACTTTATGTATTCCAAGAAACTATTGCCTATTCTAAGGTCACAACATCTTATATTTACATTTGTTTCTAAGAGTTGTACAGTTTTACCTGTTTACTTCTTTTAAGGTCTTTGATCAATTTTGAGTTAATTCTTCTGTATGTTATGAGATAAAGAGCAAATCTTTTTTTCTTTTTTTGAGACAAGGTCTCATTATGTTTAAGGCCAGCCTTGAACTCACCATGTAGTCCAGGATGGCCTTGTGATCCTCCTGCCTTCCAAGTCCTGAGATTATAGGCAATCACACCTGGCCCCAATTTCTTTAGGGATGGATATCATCACAACTAGTTTTTGGAAGGGACTATTCTTTTTTAATTGTCTCAGCACCCTTGTCAAAAATCAACTGACCATAAATACATGGAATTACTTCAGGACTCAGTTATATTCCACTGAGGTATCCACAAATGAGTTCCAGTGTTTATTAATGTAGCTCTGTAATAACTTTTGAAATTAGAACGTGTGAGTTCAACTTTGTTCTCTTCCAGGATTGTTTTCACCATGCCGATCCCTTGCATTTCCATATGAATTTTAGTATCAGCCTGTCAATTTCTGGAAAAAAGCCTGTTGACGTTGATAGGGATTTTTTGTTTTGACAGGGATTTTTATAGGCATCTCCGGGGAAGTTTCTATTCATTGCCTCTTGTTGCTGTGTATGGATCATAGTTTCTTGTTTCCTTGCATATCTCATAATGTTTTATGAAAGCTAGCCATTCAAAGTAATATAATGTGGCAATTCTGAAAAGCAGATTCTTTCCCTTTCCCGGAGTCTATGGATGTTGCCATTCACTGTTACTGCTTTTCGGTGGTGTTGCTTGTTAGTTATTTTTCTGAATGAATTCAGTAAAGTCTGCATTTTTGTCATGCATGCGGCCAATAAATCTCTGCTAGGTTAGTTTGATAGTTGGCTAGTGATAATAAAGAGATTTCCTTAAATTCTTGTAATCCACCAGTCTCCGCCTTTGTGAGGGGCCTTGTATGTCTGTTGGGCATGCCGTCGGCAACTGCCTTACCTTTCACTCCCTCCTGCACGGAACCTTGCCGTGAGTCAGAAATCACAGCACAGAGCCCCTCCCGTAATCTCTGAGCATGTGCGTAACTGGGGGCATCCGCTTCTCAAAGCCCCTGCAGCTTTTCATGGTATTTCTATAATTTTTCCTTTTAAGCTTTTTGGTTAGCTACCATTTGCCCCAACTATAACCCACTGCTTCATCCAGGCATGAAGTGTAACAACTGCCTCTGTTTTAAGAAAGGCCCTCAGGGAAAAGGATTTTCACACTAGGCAAGTTCCCCAGTCAGGGCAAGCAAAGGTGTCCCAGTGAGTTCTTCTAGGGAACCACCAGCCTCGTGGAACAATGGCTCTCCTCTGGGAATGATGCTCGAAGACCCTCCCACCCCATCTCCTCTCCTGGTACCTCCTAGGCCTCTGGTTTTCACTTGGATCGCAAGCTGTTGGTTTTCAAAGCCACAATGAAGCAGAAATGGGGAAAATGAAAACAGGACATTAAAATGCCACAAAGCCCATTATTTTTATCAAGATTCAGCCATTTTTCTTAAATAAGTGCTTGCCTGATTGCTATAAACCTTGGGTTAACGTCTAGAATTCTAAAAATGTTGACAATTTTTGCTAGTTTCCTCATGCTTTTCTGGAAGATTGTACTTTTTTTATTAGTACATGTTTGTGGTACATAATAAATATATTCATGGTGATGGATGAGAGAAATGTTAAAGTTATTTCCTCTATCATTTTCATGAACATCACTTCAGTAAACTTTGCCAAAAAAATTTGATAGTAAATATTTTGAGATTTCGGGGAAACTCAAGGATTTATGCAGGTATTTATGTAACAAGAGAGGAAAAAAAACAGATTTCACAAAATTTTAATTGAAAAAATTCAAATTACAATAAGTACAAATTTTTGGTTACATACACAGTTTTTCCAATGAAAAGAATGGAATTCTTGGTCCTTGTGTTTGCACAGCAGGCGGCAAAACCACTGAGCTAAATCCCCGGCCCAAGAATGGAATTCTTTTGGGTGCGATAACATTTTCCTTAATTGGGGATCAAAGTTAGTTGTCATCATAATCAACTGAAAATTTTTATCTATTAATGGTCATCTGTAATGAGATATTATGTATTTCATTTTTTAAAATGTCTTTTCACAAAGATAGGTATTACCAGTACTGATATCTGTACATAAGCATGCTATTTTAATTGTGGGTACCCATCACATACAAGGCATTTATGAGATCCTATTAGATTCTACTCGTGATATTTGTTTTACCTTATCACTCCACTGCATATTAATCACTCTGAGTTGAAGATTATGGGGAACCTTCTCCACTGCACAGTTAAGTAGATTTTGCAGGGTATAAACTTCCCTTCAGAATACAAGCTCCAAAAAAACACTGCTTCAGCTGTATTTTGAGCTCCAAGTATGATCTCACTGGATATTTGTACTGGTACAGAGATGATCTTCTGCTTCTTCCCCTCCTCCTGCTGCTCTTCCTTGTCCCCCTCAACTTCCTCCTTTTCCTATTCAGACTGACCACCGGGCTGGTTTTGATTTTGAGAGTCTCACTAAGGTGCCCAACTGGCTACCAAGTTATGATCTTCCTGCCTCAGCCTCCCAAGCAGCTGAGTTAAAGGGATGCACCACTGTGCGTGGCTAGAGATCTTTCTTTGGTTTAGACTTTTGACATCATGTGAAGTACATAAAGCAGCTTAACATGACTTGTTACTCAGTATTAGTAAAGTAAAAATTACTTTACCACAATACAATTTTGCATATAAGAACCATTTTGGGCCCAGGGATTTAGCTCAGTGGGGTTGCCGCCTGCTGCGCAAGTGCAAGGACCCAAGTTCAATCCCCGGTACCAAAAAAAAAAAAGAACCTTTTTGCCTTTTACTATTAACTTAAATGCATTAAGAAACACTTTCAAATCCATAGTAAAATCTTATTCCCAAAGTCATTCACTATTTTAGAAGAGTGGATCAAACAGGTTCTTTTTGTTCAGAAAAAAATTAAATCTTGGCCCTGAGTTCAAAGTATCGTACTAAAACTTCAAAATTTTTCTTTGAGTACCGGGGATTGAACTCAGGACCTTGTGCTTGTGAGGCAGGTGCGAGAACCACTGAGCTAAATCCCTGGCCCCTAAAACTCCAAATTTTGATAAGTCTTTACATTTCCACGTGGTGGGACAAATCAAGGTATTTCTCTTTGACTTCTGGCAAAAACTCATGGAACTCATGATCAAGTCTGTAAGAGCAAAGTTCACTGTTAACAGTACTTGTTCAATGCATACGTGACATATTCAAATATTTTCTTCAAAGTTCTATCTATAAATAATGCAGCGACGAACGTGAGGAAGCTGAAATGGCGGAGCAGTGAGCGCCAGCACTCTCCAAGACAAGCTGTGTAGTCTGGAAAACAACAGCCTGGAGAGGAATCCAAGTGAGGCGAGGTTATTCCGGAACCACAAGGGGCTGACAGAGAAGAAAATAGGATTGATACGGAAGAAGAGATGGCCCTGTGCAGGGGACACTGCACAGCGCCCCATCAGCAGCTGATGAGCCACCAGCTGGGAAGCAAAGTAAAACTAACAACTGTTTTGCTCAAGGAGAACCAGAGAACTGCATTGGGACTGAAAGAATTAGCAGTTGGAACTGGCAGGGAAAAACGCAGGCCACTGCTTCACAGCGGCCTTCTGCAGTGGACAGCTGGTGGTGAGTAACTTTGGTTCAAGCGCGTAGCCACAGCGGAGGAGCAGGAGCTGGCGGGACGCCACAGTGGGGAGCGCTAGGTGTCTAACCCGGGTCCCAGAGCAGCCCCTCAGCGGCTTCACACTGCCAAGTTCCCGGAGTGGGTGAGGGAAGGCCAGCCGGAGCAGACGGGGGCCCCGCTGAGGCCGGGCTGGAGAGGACCGCACAGACCAGCCCCGTTCTGGGGGAACTGCAGCCATAGGCCTCCGGCGTGAGCAGACACATCCTGGCTGGAGCAAGAGCCTCGTGTCCAAAGCAATAGAAAACGTTCTTTTCCTACTCTTTATCTTTTTACTTTGGTTTTTATTCTTTACTGTTTTCCTCCTTCTGTACATTTCCCCCCACACTTTTACTCCATTTTTACCCTCTTTTCTCTTCCTCTTGCCTTTTTTCTCCCAATATAGTTTGCAGAGCATAAGGGAATTCTCTCATTTCCCTATATAGCCCTTCTACTTTGGTCCGTATCTCTTTGCCTGACTTCTTTTCCTGTGTCTTAGTCTCAATTTTCCTTTTCTTTCCTCTCCCACTTTTCATTTGTCTCCCTTTAACTTTTCTCTAACATTTCTATCAGTCCTAGAATCTTTTTCCATCTCCGCTTCGCACTACCAGTTTTGTACCCAGTTCTCCCTGTGAGCCCCCTGTAAAGACAGAACACACCCTTTCTATCATTAGGACCCTTCACCCTCTCCTGTTTCCTCCTCCCCATACCACAGCATAAGATCTCAAAATTGAATTTAAAAAATAAAACTTTTGTTTTCTTTTTTCTCTTCTGTTACCCATTCTGGCATTACTGGGTCCCCAGCCCTCTGGGCACTAGATAACTGATTCTATAGAATTACTGTGGAATGCTGTTTTTCACCATTAGAGGAGACACAGCCATTGCGCTTAGTACACGTTAACTGCAGGTCAACACTTGGGTTGTTACGATGCTTACACAATAACCGTGGATTTCTTCTCTAGGCTAAAAGGTGACCCAAAACAGGGCCTCGTGGTGTGTTATTTCTCAACCAGCCCTGATAGATACCACTGTAATGGATTAGGCTCTTACTATTCTAGCTGATTTGATTGCATAGGAAGAATCCAGAATCAGTGGACAATTTCGGGCCAGTGAACCTGTCTGCCAAATCCACCATCACACCGAGGGAGAGGGGCAGCAAGAGTTCCTAACCCAAGAATTAGGACTGGATCAGACTCTGCAAGAATGCCCGCAGCCTGGCAGCCGCAGCCTGGCTGACAGAGGTCCTGAGTGTGAGTTGGCTTCAGTATTTCGGTGGAGGGGTCAGAAGGGTTATGGGTTTCGAGCACTCAGACTCTGGTAAAGAAGCTACTTGGGAGTCACATCTGCAAGGTCTCACAGGAATATATAATCTGTGTTCCCACTGGACATCCTATAGGTGTAAGTTTCTGTATGTTTTATTTATTTAGTAATGTGGGGTCATGCTGTGTTCTTTTATGGTATCCTGTGTTTATTAGGTTGTTACTTTTGTGTATCTGTTCTTTCATTGGCTCTGATTTAATAGGTGTCCAGGTTCTCTCCCCTGTCTCAGCTCCATATCTAGTTTCTTCACCTCAAACTGCGGAGACATTACTAACATATTTCTTTGTTCTTTTTCCAAACACATAGCCTCCTCCTCCCAAGTTTTTAAATTCCCCATACTTAGCTCCCTCACAGCCACTCCTGTCTTCCCTAGTATTATTCCTCGGTCCTCCCCATCCTAAGCCTTTGACTCGGCCGTACCTTACCTCGCTTACCGTCCTCCCTAGCAGCAAGCTCTGACAACCACACAGCTTCCCTCAATCACAAAGTAAACCTTTCTCCTATATCTCACCCTCACCCCCACAACGTATACTCTGAAAACTCTCAATACCAACCCTTCATCAACTCAAAGTACCCCGAAAGAATCAGACCCTGAATAAAACTTCTTCTCACCTGCCGCTGTTCCCCCTCAAGCCTCCCCCTTAGTGTCTCACACTCCTGTCAGCCACCTCCCCTTCTCCCACCCCACCTTGCCTCCTCACTGCAGAGCAACCGCAGATACTAACCTGCTGCAGTGTGCACAGAGAACAGACCAAGGGGGAAGTGTAACTGCAAGGACCATTAGGCTGTAAGATCGAATCTGCGCATGCTGTTGTAGCCACAAGCAATTCTTTCAGCAAAACACAGGGACAGAGTCAAAATTACTTGAAGTAAATAACAGGAGTAAACACTAGCACCAAAAGTACAAGGCTGAAAATTAATCACGGGGAGGCAACATCCTACTAAAAATCTCCATATTAGCCACAAACTCTCCTCAGTTCTTTTTTTTTAAGAAAATGGTTTTTATTTTAAATATGATAAAATGTTTAAGTTCATATTTTAAAGTTGGTGAAATCTCAGATTTATATAACGTTTTGTATCCAGTTTTGGGGGGCAACAAAAACATCAGTATGGTCAAATGTTAACTCATTTCACTTTTGTATTAATAACAAATTTATTTATACAGTAGTCCTGAATAGGCATAAGAACTTCTTGGCATTATTTTGTTTTTAAAATAAAACACTATGTAATAAATTATATCATAACCCCAAAAGTATGCTGGAAAAGTATAAAAGGTTAGAGGGAGAAAGAGCTTCAGTTTAGTGTCACCTTTTGGCATGTCCTGAGTCACCATTCTTTCCTGTTTCTAAGATTATGATTTTTATTGTAATTGGTTTCGTTTTAAGATGGCAACATAGTAACAAATTATTATTGACATAGGCTTTTCAATTTGTCCAAAATTATGCATTGTAAGTGGAATAAAGCAGCATTTCCAGTTAACAAATGGATCTATGGATAATGAGGTGTCTCTTAAATAAAGCTTGTGACAATTAAACCAACAAATGGTGGCAATGAGAAAACTATTGACAAAGTACAACCAGGGAATGCTCAACTCGATAAATGCTGGAATCTGCATTTTAAGAAAAGGATACCTGAAGCAGTACTAATGGTAACCAGGTACCAAGAAAGCAGACAGTGATTTTGAGCAAGAGTAGACTTTCCAAGTTTACAATGTAACTAGGGGGGGATGAAGAAGGAAAATATAAGATAGACTCATTCACATAGAAAGTTATTCAAATATTCTGTACCAAGGTAATAACTTCTGGCCAAGAGGTTATAAAAGCCATGAATAAAATCATCATGGAAAGTGACAGGCAGTAACTCTGACTGCTGACATAGACAGGACATTGGTAAGAATAAATATTCTGTGCCTTCAGGCTTTGGTAGATACCTGGTTCTCCCAAAACATAAGCAAGGACTGAAATCAAAATCAAAATTACTGGAAAGAAATAAAACGACTTCTGACATTTAGATGATAGCTTGGTGAGTTTAGAGAAATTCAGGCAATAATCTATACAAGATATTAAGAAGACTGGATAATGCAAAAACCCATAAGTAAAGGAAATAATTTGAGCAAAGAGGCAGATATGATATTTAGTAAACCTAATACCTAAAAGTACAAAATCCCTGAAATACGATATAATGGAAATGTTTACCAAAAATAAATCAACAAATGCTAATGAAACATAAAAACATTCCATAAAATTTTGATAGCTGTTTTTTCTTCTCACTCCTAGTGTGAGGATATTTAGTAATATTTTCCAAAGTACGATCAAGAACAACAGACAAGTAGCATCCAGAGGCAGATTTGTTTGATGTACCTGGTACTGAAAAGAGCAGTTGTCTGCAGAAAAAGGTGTCATATTTTTAGTTACATTTCAGGAAGACCTGCTGAAAAATGCATGATAAAACCCTGCTTCACTTTGTTTTCCATTCGCATCCTGCAGTTTAACTTGACCTTATCGAGGTACAAGGACACAGAAGCATAGCTGCTGACCTGAGACTGCCAGGTGGTGTTGCCTGGAGAAGGAGGCCTGGAAGGGGTGACCTGGAGGGGTGGGTCTCTCCAGAGTCTTCCTAACCAGTGATCCTCCTAGTCTATTTTGATTTTGCTGCCTTCAATTATGTCACTGTTGGTTCCTTGCATAGCATTCCACTGTGCCAGAATGCTATGTAAGCTCTGCATTTGTGAGCCTGATGAATGGAAAGAGCAGATTTTGCCGGTGTGGGTTATCTCTGCAAGCTGAGTCACCAGTGCTCCTCTCGGGGCTCCTGGCTGCACCTTCCTCCAGAGTCCCCAGCAGAAACCACTAACAGGAGCTCGAGGCGCCCCCTCCCCCGGGCCCACGGCAAAGTCACCTCTCCTTACTTCTCTCGTCACCAATCTGCAATAACCCCTCCCTCACCAAAAAAAGGGGAATAAAAGGGGCCATATGTAATTTTTTTTTTTGGTACCGGGAATTGAACTAGGGTCCTTGGGCTTGCACAGCAGGCGGCGAAACCCCTGAGCTAAATCCCCGGCCCGGGCCATATATAATTTTTAAAAAGATACATAAACAAACAGATGCAAAAATCTTCAACAAGATATTAGCAAATAGAACGCAGCACATTATCAAAAAGATTATACATCATGATTGTTGTAGTCAGGACTTGCAAGGGAGTAGATTTAATACAGGACACATAATTTAAAAGATTAGTGTATAACAGTCACCCAAAAAGTCAAATGCAGAGGAGTGCAAGAGATCTGTCCACACACTTAGAGACCTGAAGGATCCAGCCAAGGGCCTGGGTCCCACGGCAATGTCCCGCACAAGTCCAGCTGAAGGCTTCGAGCTCAAGGCAGTGTCCTCCATGAGTCCAGCCAGAG